GATTTCCAGAAATACAAACATTAGTCCACAACAGAACAGAAAACTGAGTTTCATTTCTATTTTTTTAAATTTTAATTATATTTCCAAAGATAGGATGTAATCAGGCAGATCCTTTGAGAAGTCCAGCTTCAGTCTGAGGATATTTTGGGAGAAACACGTTAAATCAAACAGGACTCAGAGCGAAACAGACGAGTCAGAAACAAGTTCTCAGCTTACAGAGCATCGATTCTCCTTCTTTGATCTTATTCGCATCTTGTTACTTAGACTGGAATAACATCCTTCAGATCGCCTTACTGGAATATCCGAGTCATGACACGACTTTACTTCAACCTGCTAAAACGTGAAACACAACAAGTTTGGCTCGTTGCTCGGTTAAAAGCTAAACTAAAGATGGAACATCAGGTGTCAGGTGTTTTTCATCTTCGCTCTGTTTTCAGTCGAGTTTATTGTACGATACTGAAAGGCAAAAGTTGATCCTAAACCAGAGGTTCTCAAACTGGGGTCCCAGGACCCCCAGGGGTCCGTGAGAGGTATCTTGGTGGTCATCAAAAAATGTCACTAAATTGTTAATTTGGTTTTATTTTAAAAAATGCATGAGGAACAATGAACTAACAAAACAAATGCAATAAACTAAATAAAAAATATATTCCCATGGCATTTAGGGGTTGAAATGACAATAAGTTATCTTTTAAAACAGCATTTGGTTTGTGAGGGGTCCCCAGACCCAAATGGCTTGAGAACCCCTGACCTAAACTACAACAAGCATCTTTGTATAAATTTAACCATTTGTTTACACAACTTCTATTTATGAAATTTAATAATATCAGTGAGAGAATGCACAATCTGTAGATTGTGGGACAAAATATACTTTAAATAACCAAACTGCATTTTTTTTGCCTAGTTTAAATTAAACTATCTTTTTGTTAGTGGAAAGAAATACAATTGACCCTAATAAGAACTTGTTTTCTTGAAAACAACAGGTTTTTATTCACTTATTAGAAAGTATAAACCCTGCTGAGTGCATCGTGGGTTCTCAGCACACGTCCTTGTTTTGTTGACTTGTGTCAGGCTGCCGAAGATACAAGCTGAGTGATTTTCTGCTGCAGAACAGCCTTCATCTCCTGGTTGTCCAGATTATCAGTGATGGTGGAGAAGAAGTGGCGCGTGTTGTCGGTCTCTGCAGGGCTGCAGCTGTCAGGGAAAGCAGCCATGATGGCCTCATAGTGACTGAGGATCTCCAGACTGCACAGGAACAGAGGCTCCGACTGGCCTCCTGGCATCATCACCTACAAACACAAGAAAATGCAGTGAGCTAAAACAAACCCGAGTCTGTTGAAACATCTCTGAGCATTCTGTGTTCTGAGAAGATTTGCAGCAAAACTAAATCCTACAGCAGTGAGAAACACACTTGATGAAAAAGTGCAAAGATTTGATTTATAATTTGTATAATAATAAATGTTAGATTTACGGAGCCTGCGAGGGGACATGGGGGATTTTTTTTCCCTTTTGCATTACCTTGCAAAAGTCGTTTATCACTGTTGTGCCTGCCTGTTAATTAACAAACTCACATGTTTACCATTACTGCGTTAGCCAGCTACTTTAATTCAGCTTCAGAATGAATATATATATATGGGATAAATCTTGTGCCAGCAGGAATTGAATTTGAATTGCTCAGATTTAATTTGAATCTGCATAATTTGAGACTGAATGCATTGGTTTGAAAATTAATGTCACTAAATTGAAACTGAATTTAATGATTTGAAAATGAATTTGAAGTTTTGTATCTGAATTAATTTGCTTTGAAACTGTATTTTGATTTATTAAAAACTCAGTTTGACTACTTTCACTTTCAGTTCCATAATTCAGATTTTTGTGTCACATCCTGGTCCTTGAGAAAGCCAGGCAGAGTAATCAAACACAGATCCACAGATTTATGTTTCACTTTGGTGAAGTTTCCCTTCTGGATGTAACAGAGTTGATGCAATCCACCGTAAAAGTGACAAAAACAAAGTTATTTTACTGCAGTAATAAATAATAATTAATAAAGGTTAAATAAATATTAAATAAAATTCCATGTGTAACACATTATGTACAGTTTTTTTCTTTTTGTCTTCTTATGGCTTATTTTATTTTATTTATTTATGTTTTGCTGACAACTGTGACATAGTATCTATATTTCATTCCTCATGTGAACTATAGTAGTAGTATGTAGTAGTAATAACCCAAGTAATTTATTTTACCAATATAAAATACAGTTTTATATTAAGTTTAAGATTAATCGTGATTAATTCACAGCTACCTTGGAATTAATAGATTAAAAATTTTTAACATTTGACAGCCCTAATATATATACAGTATATATTATACATACAGTATATATATATATATA